CAGCCACTGCGGGACATGAACCTACTGTCTTTGCTAGGTCGATTTCGCGACAAACACTGCGCTGTGCCAAGAGATCGCGTTTTCTCTCTACTCGCAATGTGTCATCCAGAGGAACAGATACAAGTCGATTACGGGAGCCCATGGACGGATATATTCGCGCAAATACTCGCGAAAACCAGACACATCCCGTGCATCTGTTCGGCTGCGCTTTTGGTGAGGAGTCTTACGCCGCCTAGTCGTGCAAAATCTGATGATGCAATCCCTTCCGCCGAACCAATGCTCACGTTCGAAATCGAAGACGTGTTTCTACACGATACCAGTCTTTTGTGGCAGAGATACCTTGAGCCTAGTGGTACGGTTCCTTTTAATGATGAGCGTGTAGAAGCGGAACTGAAACACCACAAACTAGGTCACAGGGCTTGTCTGTGGAATCTGTTGGAGATTCTGCGCTTTGCCAATCGCGACCCAGCCAATCCATTGTTTCTTTCTACCCAAAGTTCATCGCACGCGCCTCTCGAATACCAAATTCCTTTGCAGGACTTGTTACGCGACTTGCCTGAGTATACATCAAATTTGTCGGACGTTGAAAAGCCGCTGGGTTTTGTCGAGTTATTCCGCGTCTTCCTGAGATCAAGATCTAAAAGAGATCACTATCATCGATTCCGACGAATGGGTACTACGTCGCGTTTGTTCAACGTTTCACCTGGATGGTATCTGAGCGAACCGGACGACATGATTGAGACTGTGACGGTGCATGTCTCGTTAAGTGCCTTGGGTAAAGCATCAGAAGGTATAGCGCTGTGCGGATGGCAGGGTGAGAAGGAATCCCTGACAAGAGACGATAGGTTGTTCAGACAATTCAGTTTATACTATCCATCAGAAGATCGAGAAGGGGAACATACCTGATATAGGCTATAAAACATCACGTTCGCTAAAGATTTTGCTCTAGTGCAGACGGTTGGTTTCAGGAGGGTATGTATATCTGGGCTGGTTGGTAGCTGTGTTTTGAGGCAGCTAGTATGTATCCGCAGCGTTTCTGTTTATTAACTTGTAGACCTCGCATTTCCCTAGAATTGTAGCGCACGGAAAACAGTTCATAAGTTATGACGGCGTGGTTGTTTCATGCAGCGTAATGGTGGATAGTACACCTAGAAGAATCCCAAACTTTCCCAACATGGAAAACACTTAGCTAATGTTCCCCACTTCAGAGCCTCGCCTTCTCAGCTCTCGAAGCTGGATGCCTCTCGTCAATTCTCGGCAGCTTATCACTCCACGTCCTCCCATTCCGCATAAACACCCTCCTCCAATCCGTCGGATTCAGTGGCGCCTGATCCCACCTCCTGCCCCTCTTTGCGCTGACCTTCGCTCGCTTCTCTTCCGCAATACCACTAGCAGCAGCGACCTTCTTGCCCCTCTCCGCACCAAAGTTGCTGGGAATTGCTTGACTGAACTCCTTCGCACTGACTTCCAGCAGCGCCTCGGTATCAGCTTTGATCCGGTCTGCAAGAAGACGGATAGATGACTCAGCGCAGTGAGCGGCGGCGCGGCGTTGCCAGTATTCTAGGAAACGATATCCATGGCCGATCATACCGCACATTGCGCCTGCTGAATGGAGGAAATGGCCGTTGCCGAAGGAATCACCTACCACGACTCCGTTTGTCGCAACGCGCGCGTCGGTACCGATGCGCTCAACGAGGCTGAAGGGTTTGGGGCCGTACACCATGGCGACTCGGCGGAGCTCGTCTGGCGAGATTTCCAGGACGAGAGAGGCTTGCGAGATGTAGTAGTCGTAAAGGAGGAGTTGATACGCTGCGAAGTATTCGGCGGAGTCTTTGCTGGTCTCGGCACCGACAAGTCCGCGTTCGACTGGGCATAGCGAGACAAACTCAGGTACCTCGACGATGAGCCAGGAGACCCTTGGGTCACCTTCGTGGCCTACAGCGATCTGCCGTACCCATGATTCATTGCCATGCTTATCAAATTCGGAAGCGATACGACGACGCAACCGTCCATCAACGAGAATATTGAATTGGCCAGCGACGAAATCTGCTTGCGCTACTTTGGCACCTTGACCATCGCCATGGTCAACCTGTACGTCGTGCTGCTGGAAGCCTAGTTGCTCTGCTTCACGGCAGTTGATGCCTGTGGCGACGCTGAACAGCTCTGGGACTCCAAGATCGATGAAGTCACTTCCTGGCGTACGGATTCGTTGAAGATCGTTATGATATTGAACTTCGGTAACTTCCTCGATCCGAATTTGGACGCGACCACACGGAAGATGAACTAGACCACTTCCGTCCTGTACCACGCGGTGTTTGGTGAAGAGGCGGCATCTGGGCGTCTTGCTAGCGTTGAGATCAATTTTCTCGAGCGCCTCGAGATAGCGGCGGAGAAGAAGCTGGATGGAAAATGCCGCAGCTTGCCATGTCGACGGTCCGTCGAGCACTTCTCGCATATCAGTACGAATTTTGGTCGGGCACGGGTGCTCCGGAATGGTCGGCGGAGGCACAGTGGTGACAGTGCGATGCGGCTTGCCGTTCTTCCAGCGGTCGTCGATGTACTCAATATTGTGGATTTCGCCGACCATATGGAGTTCCTTCTCGTATCCCTCGATGATAGCTCCGGGTATGATGTCCCTGGATTTGGTCATGGGATGGTAGAACAAATCTGCCAGACTAAGCAGTGTTCCATCCAGTCTTTTCGGGAGGTTGTCCAGTCCGTAACGATCCAACATCATCTTGTCGATAAGGCCCAGCTGATGGTACATGTCTTCACGAATGTTCCAGTGCACTCCTAGAAACGGGTCGCCGCGAAGTTCAACACCGACGGCACGGCGGCCCATAGCTATAGCCCACAGCATCGCCAGCATGTTTGCGCCTCCAAGGCCGATGGCAACGAAATCGGCATCTTTGACTCCGGATAGCGTGGTTGAGCGACTGCCGCCCGGAACTTTGGTGTTCTGGGTCCGTTCTTGAGCCAGATACTTGGTCGTTGAGTAAAGATTGCTATTACTGGAAGCCATTGGGGCTAGAATGAAGTTCAAGTTGAATTGACAAGTGAGAACAAGACGGGTACAACGCTTCTTCAAGGGACCTGAAAACCAGCATCCCCGCTGAACCATTCCATGCGGGACGGGGCGTCTGGCGTTTACGTTGCAGAGGTGACTTACCGTTCTGGTACATCTGCCCCGTCAAGGCCCTGGATGCCTACCATGCTGAGTCTAGGTTCCCCACAGTTGCTAACTCAAGAGGAACTAATACAGTTCGCATCTTACCCGTGAGATAGGCGGCGTGGGGCGGCACGCTGCCACGTATCGTTTATTGGCGCGACGAAATATGTGCCCCTACAAGCGTAAATCCTGCCATGCGTGTCCTGCACGTTGTGTGGTAGTTTCGGTGCGACGGGCCTTTCATAAAGTAACCCATGAAGACTGTTGTGGCATTCCCGTCGGAGCTGTTATGAAAGCAACTACATTTGGCATGTAGTATCGATAGTAAGAATCCAATCGCCTCTGGCTGAAAACATGTGCGGATCCTACAAGTGACAACCAGGTTCCTGCGCGACTGTGACGGTGGTTTTTGAACTCCTCCACGAGCGCACGACGATAGGGTAGCGTGATCTAGAAGCGGGATATCATGAGCTTTGTGCTAACGATGCATGAAGCACAGCCGGAGTAAAAACTTCTTTCCCCCTCACAAAGCGGGCTGAGCAAGGCGATACATTTGTGACAGGCGCCGCGATCAGGTGGGTATGTTGCTCAAGGCCTGCCACGCCATCTAGAGTGGAGCCTTACATCCATGGATGCAGTAAGCGACGCATGCAGCAATCAATGCACCGTGAAGGCGGGGAGTCTGCCGAGGCCAGGAACGATCGAGGGTGCCATCGCGGAAGGGATTTTGTCGATTCGGAAACGGATGTGACAGCGAGCTGTACACAGTATACGGTCGCAACTTGTTCGGGCAGCTGGTCGCGAGGGAACGAAGGATTGAGGGTGACCGGAAGCGACAGAACGGAGATGTGCCAGGCTTGGCGCTAAAACACGCGTCCGAAGCGCGGAACGCGCTCTTAGCTCGATGGACCCGGTATCGACTGCGACCCCACAATCGAGGTTTAGCTCTTTCAATCGCGCGCCTCGTGTACAATCAGTCGCAACTATGCGTCGCCATGCTTGATAGCGGATTCGACATATGCACTCCTCATCTCCCACGTGGGACACGCCACGCGAAGTCGCCACTACTATGCATCCCTCCTACCGTCAGACGTGTTCATTCTCTCGGCAACCGCTTAGCATATCATATGCTCCAACATGCGACCTGACAAGCCCTGGCTAAGCACGAAAATCAGAGGCTATCGCCATTCCAAACGATGCCTTACTCCGGTCTCGTCCCGAGGTTCACTATGATACATGGATGATTACCCATTCGAGATCAACCGATCTGCACGGTACGAACGCGCACCAGGACGAAAGGGAGCAAAGCTACAGAGTAAACCCGACGACGCATAGCAGACGCAATGTCGAGGTGTCGACTCAAACTTTACAGCCGTCGACTTCCGAAAGTTTTCCACCATAAATTTGTTGCAACAGATCAGCATCGCGCTCCTCGACCGACGCGTATAATCTCGACCGTCGTCCACGACACACCAAGCTTACCACGCGCCCAACCCTCCACAACTTCGCCGATATCGCCTTCCAGACTACGACTACAGTCTTGCAGCACGCTGCTGTTTCGCCGATCACACGCGCCGCATGGGTAATGCCACGCCCTTCCTCTTGCGCGATGCGGATATACGTGGACCTAGCAGCTGGGAAGCTATGGAAACATGGGACACACAATCATCATACATCTCGACCTTGACGTCGAAACAAGGCCTCTGTCGGACTATATACCCAAACAACGAAGAGAGAGCGCACCACCTCCACGCGCAGGTGCAGGATTACGTTTAAGACTATGCACGGCTCAGAGTGTACAAGCGTTCATGGAGAGTGAACTTGTCTCGGTCTACGAGCGCATGTGTACACGGCATCCATCTCCCGAAGCAACTACCAACGTCAAGGTCTGCTTTTCCCGGCCAGTAGGGACAACAGGGTCATCCTTCGGAACAGTCATGGAAGGGAACATTTGTACCAACCTCGCTACAGTATATCCCGCCTCCAGCAGGGCAAACTCTTGACCCAGGCAAACTCGTGGCCCGCCATTGAAGGGAAGATACCCGTAACCCACATCTCGCAACAGTGATCCATCCTCCCACCTCTCAGGGCGGAACTCGAGCGCATCTTCGCCGTAGATGTCTGTACGTCGATGCATAGCGTATACGCAGTAACCGACAGCCTCGCCTTTCCTGACCAATATCGGCGACTTTCCATCTGGGCCTCCTCCAACAGGAAGTGTCGTCGTCTTCAATGCTGCGCGAGAGTTGACCGGCACGGATGGGTAGAGGCGAAGTACCTCCTTCAGAATGAGATCAAGATATCTCATCTTCTTCAGATCCACCCGACTTGGCTGAGGCGCATGCTGTCCGAGGCCTACTACTGCCTCTATTTCCGAACGTAACCTTTCCAAAACTTTAGGGTGACGGACCAGCAGGCGCAAGGTCCAGGTGAGGCAGCATGCTGTTGTGTCTCTGCCCGCCAGTAACACATTGAGACACTGGTCGCGAAGTTCCTTCTTGTTCCGAGTCTCTTGGATGAGCGCGTCGATAAACACATAATGCTTCCTGTCCTCGGCTTCTACTTTCTCGGGTTCCGTATTCTCCGCATTGTCCAATGCTCTTTGAATCGCGTCGTCAACGAAGCGATGAGAAGTCTTGCAAGCTTGCCAGAACTCGGGAGTACCCGCAAGCCAGTACAACTCTCCCAGCCTGCCACGATGCGACAAGTAATCCTGTCCCAAATTAAAGGCTGCTGCAAACTCAGACTCTTGTCCAGCAATGTCACTGCTTTGCAAAGAGCTCAATGTTTTGCCAAAAAGCAGGAATGTCGTCGTGTCGAAGGTCAAACGAAAGAATAACGGTTGGAGATCAACAATGCTGTCGGGACGAATTTGATCGATGAGGCTTTCGACCGACTTTTTCATCTCCTCGAAGTTCTGGTAGCGATTGGAAGTGAATTGGGGACGGAGTAGCGCCCGCGAGTGTCTCCATGCTGCACCGTCTTGGGTAAAAATCCCGCTTCCCATCAATGGAGCAAAATGCTTGGGTCGGAGCCCAAGACTGAAGTCTACGATAACGTCAACGCCTGTGCGTGTCCTAACTATGCGGTTTTGGCGAACCTTCAAACTGGGTAGAGAGGATTTCTTCGATGTTGCGTGGTTCAACCGTATTGATACCGCGAGCTCCGACTATGTAGTGTCAACTCCGCAGTGTTGTTGTGCCTTCAAGGACTCACGCAACTGCTGCTCATGCGTCGGACCGCTAGAGTTCACTATGTCCACGAAGAACTGCAGGATGGTCTGCGCTCTTGCATGTTGCCTCGCTTTGAGGAGCAGATCCAAGCCCTGTGGCCACTTTGCTGCCCACTTGGGCGGTGCTTTGCACCCCATCTGCGCGGCATATCGGTCTTCTTCCTGGTGATCATCAGCAGCATCATCTTTCATTCTATCAACCACGCCTACCTCGCGCTGCATTTGGCGCTTCCAGACCTTATAAACTAGCAGGCTGCAGACGACTAGGCACAATAACATGCTTATAGTCGCCATGTTACTCAGCTCGATGAAGGTGATGAAAAATGATTGACTATGAGCGTTGTAACTACGGAGCCGATACGACGCTTTTGCGACAATAATCTTGCCCGCAGGTTGAACCCGGGAAGTCTCAAACACCGAGTATCTAGGCAAACGCTTCAGGTTTGTTTTTGTCGGCTGACTATATATATTTGGGTCAGTGCACGGTACTTGCAACAGCGGTAGGGTGTTGGCCATTAGGCGCTTTGTCCTGTGGCCTCGCCAGTAAGAAGACAGTGATGAAGCCAACACTAGTGTGTTGGTCAAGCTTGGCTCGTGCCGCGATCCTTACCGCAGTGTCTGTACTGTTGCAGACGTCTACAACTGGTCATTTATGCTGCTAAAAAAGGTGAAGCAGCACAATACCAGCAGGAAAAGGAGGGAAAAGAATAAGAAGACATCGGACAGAACGCACCCATCCCCGATTACCTAACCCATGTATTAGGCAATCGCTACAAGCTCTATATCCAACGCGCTTACATCGCCATCTTATTCCGCAGGCGCATGAGTCTTCCTCCTCTTGCTCAAAGGCTCCACAAACATATTCCCTAGCTTATACTCCAATTCTTCTTTCCTAAGGACTCGGAGGTGGCCGGCAATATCACTACCCATCTTATCACCCGAGAAGACGGAACCTAATCGCCTCTGCGATCTCTCGAACTCCGCTTTCGCTTTCTTTCTCAGCATTCCGTAACCTGGTCGCTTTTCTGGATTGACCTGGAGACAGTCAATTACTAGCTGGTGCAAGACATTGGAATACATCGCATCGTAACCTGGAATGTCTGTCGATGTGAACGTATTGCCTTCTGCAAATTGGAAAGAAGCTTTTATGCTGTCCTCGCATATCTGGTCCGACGTCTCTCTTCCAAGCGTAGTATGCGTCAGCTTCCAGATGACCATTCCAAGCGACCAAATATCTGCTTTGGCATTGACAGGATGATGGTGTGCTGCCTCTACGATGATTTCCGGGGCTTGGAATCCTTTCGTTCCCCAATCTTTCCTCCCCTCTGAAGCATCTGTTGCTGGTGAGATCCTCTTGACGACATCGTAGTCAGCAAGAAGAGTTTTTGGGTACGCTAGGTAGGGTTCCTTAGCGGTACTGATAAAGATGTTCGCTGGCTTGACATCTAAGTGCACCATGCTGTCTTTGAACTTCTCCCTGGGCTTGTTTCCACCTCTTTTTCTTTTCTTTGCCATTTGTCCCTCCTTTCCGACTTCTGGGCCATTCTCTGGTCCTTCCGCCGTCTTGACTTCGTCGAGCGTCTCTCCGCACACCCCCGTGTTTAGGGTACATATGGCATCGGCCAGTGCATGAAAGACCATCCAGATAAACTGCTCTGGTATTTGTTTGTCCAAATTCTCTTCCTGGTAATAAACTTTGAGAAGTTCGCTGAGATCTCCGTGCTCGGCGTAATCAGAATACAAGCGATACATTAGCGTACCCTCTTGAGAGGCAGCCTGGATGTGATGGCAATGATCACAAAGCTCCAGTTGTCGACTGATATTGTATTCATCTTCGACAAAATTCACCATATTCTGCGAACCACAACGTATCTTCTTACATACCTTCCGCTAGCTGATGTTAGTACTATTTAGCGACGTAGGAGTTGATGAAGATACTAACTTTCAATATCCTACCCGTGTCGTCGCATAGCACGTACAGGCATACCACTGTGCGCATCTTTCTGGATCCACTGAATCTAGTACGAGAGTCCATCAGCGTCTTGCACCATCGCCATGCTTGCGTTGCGTCGTCATGTGGTTCGTCGAGGCCCCTCTTCCTCGTTTGGGGAGGTGCTGCTCTACCAGTATCTGCTTCGGTAAGACCGACCCTTGCTATTGCGATCTCGCCATCACTAGGCTCGTAATGAGACGTTTCTGTCTCATTCGATGCTTCCGGGTTTTCGGCCTCAGCGGGTGTCGCTACGCCATGCAACGGGTCTTGTATGTCGCGAACATTATCTTCTCGGGCTCCCGATTCTGCCTGCTTACGGCCTCCATTAATCACTTCTTGGGGAGTGTCCCTAGAAGACTCTTCTTCGCTCTCAATCTCACGATCTGGCGCATGGCTGACCGCCCCAGATGCGGCACGGTTGATGTATTCCTGTTGCGCCGTGGATGTCGTCTTATTCCATACCCGTGAAAGCACACCAGCCCCATTAATCCCGCCCTTGTACTCCGTTAAGAATAGCAAATATCCACGCCGCGCATCGTCGTTGGGTAGTGCACTGAAAAGCTCATTGTATCTCTGCGTCGAGCCGTCAGGTAAAGCCAGCGGATCTGCCATGTATGTGGTCCAAAGTTATTTTGCGCAGTACCGAAGGTAGCTCTTGTTTTGATCACAAGAACGCAAAAAAGCCCCAGGTATTCTTTGATTATATGCTCCTTGTCTTAGGTCGATAATGTATCGAACAAAGGCTCTATACTTCATTGTTCGTGGTGTGTTTGCGGCCACACCCACATCCTGATCTTCGAGTAGCTAGCCCTGAAGACACATCTTACAGACCTGAATCATTCTAGACCATGTATATAGAACGCACCGATGAGATTCGGTGTATTAGATGATGACTTTCACAAAATCACGGCCAAAGATGTTTGGTATCGGCCGTTCATAATCAGGTCAAAATGTCCAGCAGGTGAATACCTTGTACACCTGGTTCCTGTCGTATGAGGGACACACGAATACATTATAGTTAAGGTCTGTATTTTGAGTGAGCATCAAACTATTATTTGCATCCAAATTCGTCTTGGTTTGGCTCGTGCGGGAGTGATGACTGCCTAGGTGCTGCATCGGTCTCCTCGCATACCGATTGACCCTGGACCTTCACTTGACTACCTAGGTAAGAGGGCGTTGCACTTAAAATCTTCTGGAACAGCAGATCAAAAGCTAGCTGGAAACGATTTTCAGATTACCTTTGGTGACGTAACACTCATATTAACATGGAAGGCACCTTCCTTAAGGTTGAGCTTTGCTCCCCAACACGGCAAGCGCCCCTCACCTCCAATTTTCCTACGCTAATCGCTCTCTGTCTTCTGGCTACACTTCTGTATATTATGAAGTAAGACACGAAAGTTCATCTATCAATCAGTGCGAGCGCAACGTTGCCGCGCGGTATTGTCAACGTCGCGCTTTCCATTCGACAAAGATCTCGGTCGAGACCCATCACTCCTACCCTCCACACCCAGTTATGGCGCAAGAGCAGATGAAGAACACGCGACAGCGACCTCTATCAGGTCCATTAATGCCTTCGCAACACCGACCATTCGTCGGACCTACCTCAAACATGTTGCCGTCCAAATTTCCAGCCAGGTCCGAACGGAATGCAACGGGCGGCCAGGCCTTCCTGCCTCCCATGGCACCACCTCACTGGCCTTCTTTTCCGCATCTCAACTATCCATTCGAAAATTCATATCCTGATCTCACAGCCAGACGCCGAGAACACCCACTTCCGTTCAGCATGTCGCGCAACGAGCACAATGTCGACCCTAACACTGGCGCAAGAAACATCGATCTAAAACAGCCGGCGTCACCGACGCAAGGCAGTGGTCATACAAATTCCGCTGACCAGCGACATGACTCTCTGACTAAGGGAGACACTATTCACGTCTCGCCTGCACCGCTTCCGACGGGCTGGAACGGTAGTCGTATTCCATCAAACAACATTCCGAGGAAGGCGCCGCTGGCAGCTCGCTCTCCAGATGACATCTCACCATTCATAGCGAGAAAGATACCGCCAACGAAGCAACAGAGATCCGCGAGTCAACCAAAGGCAGCTCCCGGCCCCTCACAAGGCAGCCGAGTACGCCAGCAGAAGTCGTTCAATACGCCGCCGTTGGGTACCCCTAAGAGAGGACGACCGCGACTAGACGATGGGGCTCAAGATAATAACGCAGCTGGCGGGCTGAGCAGCCAGGGAAATGATCACATCGGTCAAAAAATCAGCGCGCAGCCTCCCATCGGCATGTTTGCGCCTCCACAGGTATCGTCCGCGACACCACCAAAACCCAGCAGACCAAAGCCAAGGCATAGCTACGTCGTTCCTCTGGAGTTGATAGGCACAAAAAAAGCCCTTGGTAATTGGTTATTGCTCAAAACTATCGGGAACACTCGCTGATAACATTGCTTCTAGGCCCAGACAACTGGAACGAATACGTATACCTCATGGAGCAGCTCTGGACCGAAGAAATCACCTTTGACGAGTTTGGCGCCCGCACGCAACGGATATTCCAAGTGATCGATGAGGGCATTCGGAGGAGGTTGAACAATACTGTGGCGATGAAGATGATAGTGCCGCGGCTAGAGGAAGAGCGGAAGAGAGGTCAGTCGACTAAGGGCACGGAAGACGTCTAGGTTAAGCTCTACAAGGGCCATCGGGCCCGCGCATCATGGTGAGGTCGTGGACATCGGACTATGGGAGTCATGCATGCAAGATGCTAGAAAAGTTCAAGGCTATTCTAGAAGTACTCGGTGATGCGCGCATAGACGATCAATTCCAAGTACCCGCGGCATGGCCTTCAAAGAGATGACGACCTTCGCCTTAGCTTATTTCCATCCTCGTGTGCTTGCTTCTTCCTCAGTTTTTCCAACCATAAATCGTCCTCACAACGCTTGCCGCCTATCAACTGCTCATAGGTTCCGTTGTCCTTCCAAAGACGGTCCAAGCCCATGTATATGCAAAGCAAGGCACCGTTTGGTACCGTGTAGTTGATCTCGTCGCGAAACTGCTGCGTCGCTACTTCAAGTTTCAGAAGTGACTCTCGGATCGCCGTGGCACTGATTGTGGGACAAGCCGTAGGAGAAGGAGGATTGGCGTTCCGATTGCTAGGGATGAAGATGATGTAGCCGCGTTTGCGGGTCAAGCGTGTCCACTGAAGTGTGTTCTTGGTGAAGTGACAACGGGCTAAGATAGTCGCGAGCGGGTGCTTTGAAGCCCTTATGTCTGGTTGTACATACGTTAGCACCAAGGTACGACCGAGCAACACCGGAAAGGAGACTTGCCGAACGAGAACGACCCATTTTTCAGGACACCCTCGGGGAAGACCTTGCGCATCTTGGCGCAAGGCCAGCACGGCCAGCACGGCCAGCAATCTGGAGTTGCATTATCCTTGCCTGTCCATTCTTGGCCTTCGTTCTTCATCTCTTTCCACTTCTCACATTCTTCCAACTGTAGCAGACCACTGCCGTCTTCAGGCACAAAGTCCATGGGTCGTGTGACATCGCTGCTAACGCACGTCCTGCCATCCCAACCCCACAGTCCGTTGGCCATACTCTTCTGGGTGATGTGGTCGCCTCCGTACAGCGTTGGAAAGGAGACTTTGAAGCCATCCAACTTCGCTAACCGCTTGACTGTTGCCATAAACATGTCCAACCTATCGTCATCGTCCTCTGGGAATACCCACGCGAATCTCCCTAGCACCTCGTCTTTCCAGAGTTCGCGGCGCTGGTAGTGCGAGAGTATGAACGCTTTACCCTTGTTGTCAGTAACATGATCTTTGGAATCTAGACAGTCGTCACTGAGAGCAAAGATCATGACTGCGATGGTATTCGCATCCGTGTTTAGATAGGTGTGCCAGAGAAGCGCGGCGTGACCTGCATGTGGTGGATTGAAACATCCGGGGTAGATTACAATACGGTTCTCCCGGCCGCGTTGGAGCTCAGGTCCTGGAGATCTGGTGAAGATGCGCGGCGAGGGGTCGGAGAATCCTTGCATGTCTTCGTATGCGCGGTGAATGTAGTCTTCTAGAAAAGTCGCCTGTGACCCATTCAATCTTGTAGTACCTGCAGATGAGCTATATTGGATGTTTGCGGATCTGGATATGTCTGCGCCCACAGCCGAGGAGATCTGATTTAGCTCGACAGCATTATCGCCGTCTCGATCGCTAATTTGCTGCGCTACTTGAAGTTTCATATCATCTCCAGAATCTATGAGATTATTCTTGTCGAATTGAGCGTTCTCCATGCTCGGCTTACCATACAGAATGCGCGACTACTTTCGGAATAGAAAACCCAAATGCAAAGTGCGCGCAGTGAGAGTTCTTCAAGGTCCGTGCATTGTCGCTCGTAGTGCTGTAAATATTCACTGGCAATGTCATATTGACAGCCGAGGTGAAGCAGGCTCTAGTACTATCCCAAGTCGCGATAGACAATATCTTGTATACTCCGTAAGGGACAGCATGGCGCGATGTTGTATCATGAGAACGATTTGCAAGGTCACGAGTATGGCGTTGACGGAAATCTTCAAGCTTGGAAATGATACCCTGTGTGAGTGTTCGAGAGTAGCGCACTCCAATGGACATAAAAGCTTCGTTGGCAGCGCCAAATGAGCGCAAGGAGATATGGTGTAGACCATGGACATTGTTTACCGAGCTCGATCCTTGGGTTATGACTAATAGAAGTACTGTTGTTCACAGCTTGCCCCAGTGCCTTCATTTCAAAAAAACTCATCGCTCGGTCGTCCCTGCAATGCATTTAGTCGTATACTACAGCTGAGAATTGCTGCCTGCTCAAATAGTAGCCGTCAGACCAACCAACCAACACGCATTCGGTACGCCTTCAATTTGCGTGTGTGCCCACATCAGCTGTTCTCCACAACCAGTTAGAAGCACCGGACTGGAACCACCGTTATCGACTTACCAGCCCACCAATGTACACACCCATAGTCCCTCGAACGCGAACCCCGAAAGCAGCGGACGGGCTTGGGTGTAGTACCAGTTTCTGCATTACTTTTTGGAAGGTTCTTTCTCGATTTCACACCGCCTGGCCGAGGTCTGGAGCATGCAGATAGAGCTGTGAAAAGGCGATAGTTTGAAAGAGTGCATTTAGAGCATTGTCGGTCATGTCCGAAATCGATAACGCAGCGTTGCGGCTAGCGGGAACTAGTAGGGCGTCGGAGTAACTTTCGATGAGGCTCGAGTGTGATTAGTGAAAAATCGCTGGTTAGTCGTCCAAAGTGGGCAATCCGGAGGTTGTGGAGAATGACGGCTCCATGGTGTGGGGTATCGGACGATGTCTAGCGTTGCAATCGACCGAGGCCCACTTCAACGAGAGCCTCATGGGTTCGAGACACGAAGTGCATATCGCGCCTATATAGTGCGAGGATGGTTAACAGACGCTGGAAAGACTAGTGATCTGTGAATATGTGTGATTCTATGCGCTAAGGAAAGACCGGGAAAATGAGTTTACCGTTTGCGACCCTGTGCCACAGCCGGTAGCCGCGGGTTGCTTCTGCTCGCAAGACGGTACCTGGTCCCTCTGTTTGCGGCAAAAGCACCGGCATGCTCGTCGGCCGCGCATCCCATCTTCTTTGTCTTGCGCGGTCGAGGTTGCAACACAGGCACGTGAGCAGTGTTTCCGTGGTCTGTGTGTTGACCCGCTGAATCCTGGAGAGACCTGGAGAAAATTTTGGAGTAGTCTCCACAAGAAGGCATCGCTACGAATGAGACGTAAGCCCACAATTCTGACAGTTGGGCCGGGCTCGATGTCGTCCCAAGCTTTGGCGAGGGCTTGGATTGTTGGGACAAGGAGACTCAAGGTGCCCAAGACATCGCCGCGCGTACGCTATCGAGTTCGCTGGTCTCGTCGAGGCTTGCCACCGACGTCGTCCATTGGTTGAGGCGACAATGCGATGGACTTCCTACATTTTCTGGACTTGTCGAACACCTCTCCAGATAGATTGCAGTCGTGATCCTGGCGGAGATTGGGATGGGCTGACATTTATGAGAAGGAAACAACGGGAAGGACCTTTGGCGGCAGTACAATGGCGCCTTGCTCCCTGCCTCGGTGGTCGCGCCAACATGTGCCGGTATGCAGGCGGCTGACGGGAAGGGCAACATGGGCGCCGATCGGAGCTGGGCAGCGTCAGCTTAACAAGCCGCACACCTCGATCGCACCAAGCACATGCAACGTGAAGCCTTGCACTGATCACGGGGACACCACGAGTACGGGATACCTGCCGCGCTACTGTGACGGCGATTGCGCCTCGTGCGCCGTGCGACGCAAGATACACCGGTAAACATGTAAGGGTGAGCTGACAGCGCCCTTCACCAACCTCCAGAATAAGAGCGGGCTGGCGTGACGGTTGCTCGGAAGACAGCCGAGCAATGTAACGCGGTGGCTTGAGCTAGCGGAATCACATGGGGTCGAGAATGCGGAGGGTGAGGTCATAGACGTCGGCCTGCGCGAAGCTTTGGGGTGAGGGCCAAGCCCCAGGCCTTAAGCGTGGCTAAGATAGCCGCAGCACGCTTGGGGAGGCTTACTCCATGGGGAGAGATGGAGTGGGGATCCTCATGAACGATAGCGCTAGCGCGTGAAACCCCCTCCTCCAAGGCTGTTTCTCAATGGCTGACGCGAGCCAGGATCCCGGGGTGCTCGACCGCCGCGACGGTGGTGCCAGTGAAAGAGAATCTGGAAAAACCCAGGTGCCTGTCGGAAACCTCTTACAGCTGGCGTGCGCCGTTGAGGCTCCACTTTTAGGCCTCCCTCTCACTCCGAACTCCCCCAGGTATAAGATCGACTGCTCATCTCCCCCGCCATTTCTCTCTACCTCCACTCCACTGCTCTCCGCAACTCCTTGCAATTTGTCTTACTAACGTCGGAGCCTGCGAGACATCCACTCCACCATGGACGCAAAGGACACTGGCGTCAGCCACATTCCTGACAAGGAAGTAGCCTACTCTGCTGAGAAGGAAGCTGCCTACGACCCGGCCAACGAGAAGGAGCCTCACTACACGCCCACCGCAGAGCACATCGCTGATACAGGCGCCCGCCGCGAATCTGTCGCCCACAACATCATCGAGAACCCTCTAACCCGCCAGTCAAAGGCCGAGTGTGTCAGCGCTGCTGAGCGATGGGCTGCCACCCATGGCTTGGATGAGCACGCCGCCCTCTTCGGGAAGGCCGCCCTTATCGCGCGCGATCCTGAGCGCTTCGAAATGCTCACCGACCTTACCCAGGAAGAGCGCGATGCTCTCATCTACGAGCGCGACCACAAGTGGTTCGGTCCCACCATGATGTGGTACTCGATTGGTCTGTGTGCCATTGGAGCCGCCACTCAGGGCTGGGACCAGACTGGATCCAACGGAGCCAACTTGTCCTTCCCTGAAGAATTTGGTCTTCTCGGATCGGACAGGGGCGAATGGATCATCGGACTTATCAACTCCATCATCTTCTTGACTGCTGGTCTCATCGGCGCTTTCATCGTCGACCCTCTCAACAAGTACCTCGGTCGTCGTGGAGAAATCTTCGTCACCGCTATCTGCCTGACTGCCACCCCCATTGGTTCCGCTTGTGCGCAATCATGGCAAGGGCTCTTTGCTGCGCGCTTCATCATGGGAATTGGAATCGGTGCAAAGAACGCCACTGTCCCGATTTACTCTGCTGAGATTGCACCTCACCGAATTCGCGGTGCCCTGGTCATGTTCTGGCAGTTGTGGGTTGTCATTGGTAAGTTGTACCATCCGCGTTGTCGACGATATGTTATTAACCCCTATCCACAGGTATCTTCCTCGGTTTCTGCGCCAATGTCATCGTCAAGGACACTGGAGCTATCTCATGGCGTCTACAACTCGGTTCTGCTTTCATCCCATCCTTTATCCTCATGATTGGCATCTTCTTTTGCCCAGAGTAAGTGAAATTCATCACGCTCAATCATATCAAGCATATACTGACAAACACTTTTAGGTCTCCTCGTTGGTTGATGAAGCATGGCCACATTGCCAAAGGCTACCGATCAATGGCCAGACTGCGCGCACACCCCATCATTGCTGCTCGCGACTACTACTACTCATACGTCATCTATGAGACCGAGCTAGCCGTTGCACGTGGAGCTGGCTACTTCGACCGCATGTGGGACTGCTTCCGCGTGCCTCGAATTAGGCGTGCCAATTACGGTGCTTCGACTGTCATGATTGCCCAGCAGATGTGTGGTATCAACATCATCTCATTCTACAGCTCGACCATTTTTACCCAGGTCGGCTTTACCGATGACCAGGCTTTGTACGCCTCTCTGGGCTACGGAGCTCTTCAGGTCGTCTCCACGATTCCTACTCTGTTCCTCATCGACACCAAGGGACGAAGGACCCTTTGCATGTGGGCAAGTACTTCCCAACCTTTGCGCGACTAATCTTGTGCTGACTGTGTGCTAGACCTTCCCCTTCATGTGCATCTTCCTACTGGCTGGCGGTTTATCCCTCCTTAACCACAGTGGTAGTCAAGCCGCTCAACTCGGACCGATCGTCTTATTCATCTACCTCTTCACAATCATGTACTCGCTCGGAGAAGGGCCAGTCGCATTCCAGTATTCTGCTGAGGTTTTCCCTACCATTCAGCGTGAGCAGGGAATGGCCTGGGCAGTGTGCATCAACAACACCTTCGCTGGAGTCTTGTCGCTCACCTTCCCTCGTATGGTGTCAGTCATGACGCAGACCGGCGCCTTCGGATTCTACGCTGGCCTCAACTTGATCGCCTGGTTTATGATCTTCTGTTTCGTCCGAGAGACCAAGCAGCTCACGCTTGAAGAACTGGACCAGGTCTTCAGTGTGCCCACCAAGCAGTACCTCCACTACGAGATCACCCAGTCGGTGCCTTACTTCATCAACAAGACGGTTCTCCGCCGAAATGTGCCCAAGCCCCCTCCGATTATCGAGAAAGGCTACGCTACTGGCGCTGTCCCGACTGCGTAAATCCGGATCCAAACTAGTCAGATCATTTGAAGGTCCAGTTCTACTTAGCATAGGACTATGTAATGCGTTCGTTAGTGTAAATAGCACACGAAGCTCTCTGAGCGAGTAATGAATACCCCAGCGTGAGATGCTCACACGCTTAAACTGATTCATGTGTAATGCTGTCATGTGATTGCTCTCCTCTGCGCTTAACAAAGATACATTTTGGGGTATGAACTAATTGTCCGGTGGAATGCGGAGAACTCCCTACACAACGGTACGCTACGTAGTCTGCCTGTCACACCCAAACAACGCCATCCGCTAGAGATCGCTCCTCCCGTACGCGTCTACTGAAAGTGGGGCCTCACATGGGAAGCTTCAGCATTGACCACCCATGCCGACCTTCGCCAATGCGGAGTCGGATCTCACGTCTCATCACCTTTGCAACTCCTCGCATGCCACACATGCTCCATTCGCGACTTAGAAGCTGAATACTTTGCGGTCATAACACCTCTCGCTACATTACGAGCTCACACGGTATCGCAGACCGAGCGGGTGTTGGGTGGAAGAAAGGCCATGACGTTCGGATGACACCTTGGAATGGAAGAACCAATTGGTGATTGATTGTTCACAAACACACCACCAGCCCTGTGATCTTGCTTCAAAACTGGAAAAGGTGATGCGCAATAGCGGACATACTCCTTCTCGTCAGCCATCATCTGCATCAACTCAAGCTACAATAGTTGGTCCAAGCTCAGACCTCAGCTACAACAAGAATGATGAACAAAGTCTTGTTCTCTGCGACAGGCAACAAAGGAACAAACACCCACGAGCGATACCGGAGGCTCGAGGTTATACAGTCCCCCACGGCATGGTCGCGGCCACAACGAGGGGCCTATATGCCGAGAGAAACGGAAACCTTGGATCCAGTGTTACACTTCACACCCGACAACGTGTTACGAGAAGTACTTTTATGACGGTACCCGGGCGATAGAGTCACGACGCACGGCTTCCCGCTGTGCACGATCACATGGTACCACGTATGAAGAGCAGTTGGTGGACATGGCATACCAACGTGGGCTTGACTCTTCGAGAGTCGAACGCGGGCTGACTGGTGGCTATATGCGTCGACTGTGAGTCTTCGGGGGTGACTGAGGGGAGCTGTGAGTCAATCAGGAGTATATAAAGAGCATATCGACGTGATCGTACTTTCACACCAGTATACTACCTTTCGACGCTTAGGCAAACTCAACTAAACCACATCGACGACTCTCGACTGAACATACATTCCAGCCCCCAATGTCTTCCTCGAAGTTGACGGACTTCAATCCATATGAGCTGAGCGACAAGGAAAGTAGGGACTTTGACGACTTGAAGCAGGGAATCGACAACCGGAATGAACGACTCACAGGAGCAGAATGTGGAGAGCTGCCCAAATGGGACTATCCTTTGGGTATAATCAAGGAAGCGCAAGATGCGGCAAAGAAGCACCGCGATCTTGTCAGTGGCAGGCTGACCCGGCTTTTGGAATGGCCTACTAAGAAGGAGGCCGATGGAAACCTTTTCTACGAAGCAGATCCACCCAACAACATATTTAATCGAAGCAAGGAATGGTTTAGTGAGCAAGGGTTTCACTCTTTCGAGACCCAATACTCGTTCTCGGACGGGTGGGACAAACAGTCTCTCACGGTGGCAATCTACGTACCGCAGCAGTTACCAGATGATCAAATGTCGCCCGTTATGTGGATGTTTCATGGTGGCGGGTTTGTAAGTAAACATTCCGGGTGTTCGATATAAATCCAAACATGCTAAATTGTGTACAGTGTACTGGTGCTGCCGACTTTATTCCATGGTACTCGCAAATTGCCGTTCAAAGAGCCAAGCAGAAGAACGCCATCATCATAGCACCAAACTACCCTCTGGGACCAGAAGGCAATTACGTCGACATTTACCGAGCGATTTACGATTTCCTCAGGTGGTACAAAGAGGACGGGTACTTTAAAAAGGTCTGGGACGATACCGAGGATAAAACCAAGTCTTGGCAGGAATGGCTATGCCGCGAGGTCGCAAACAAGGGTGGGAAGCTCGCCATCGATAAGGATCAAGTGTATGTTGAAGGTGAAAGTGCAGGCGCGCATGCAGCCGTGACTGCGATGTGGCTCAATGCGGCGAAAGACGGAGGACTGAAAATCCCCATTCAAGCGGCCCTTTTGCGGTTCCCCATGATTGCGCATTACGAACGCGAGGCAGGAGAGAAAGTTCCCTACATGGGTGCGGACCGGTCAAAAGTAGAGATAAAAGAGCGAGCCGAAAGGGTGGCGGAAGAAATCCTCAGACTCGAGAGAATGGGTGTTGTGCCAACCTGCACAGGTAGACCACCTCCTCGCGGCATGGTCTTTGCTGTCCTCTTATCCGTTTCAAAGAAATGGAAGCCTTTCTTCCAGCGCCAGCACGGAGACCCTACGCTAGACAAAACGCTAAACCTCGATGAGGAAGGCAACATTGACGAAACGCTCATGGATGGAATCGAGAGGGCCGAAATATGCGCAAACAGAGTGGATCATGAGCTCTTACCACCCATCTACATTTATCACGGCCATAATGACACCAACTGTCCCATTAAAAACACCGAAAAGTTCGTTGCGACGCTCCGGAAACCCGAACTCTATGGCGACCGGTTCAAAGACACCGAAACGCTTTGCTTGGACGTTGTGTGGGAGTTGAACAAGAAGCCAAAATTCGATCAGGCAAAGGGGATGCATTATGTACAGGACACAGATGTTGGCCATGGTTTCGACTACGACCTCGATGAGAACCAGGAGCCATTCTTGAAAAACGCTTACGACTGGGTGAGCCGTCATTGGGGTCCTCAGAAGTGAGAATATTGCATTGTGACGACTGGAGCGTGGGGATGGTAGTGCGTGTTAGCCTGTCGGTACTCTACAATACCATCATCATTTCATCATCCATCGTGTTTTTCATTTTATCATTTAGTAAGACTTCCTACGTATGTAAACCCCAAAGCTCTTGAGAAAGAGAAAGCCACAGTTCCTACAGCTACTGAGAGATGTCTGATCATGCCGTACTCTTGCCTTCCGTGGTTTCTAGACCCTGAATGTCCCATGAATGCATGAAAGCCAATCCGTCCGCCTATGTCCTTCTTCCTCCCGCACTAGCCATACAGGGTGCCCTTAGTGCGCTCACTAAACTGCGTCTCATTATGAAGATGCTGGGTGACATCCATAGTAGTAGTGATATGCTCCCGACTAAGCTTCTCCTCCTTGCGACTAGCCAGCAACCTAGCAATCTTGAGGATATTCTTGATCTGCCGTCCATTCAGATCCATACGCGCCAGCTCCGTGAGTTCAGCCTTGGAAATGGTGTGTTCCTGCGACGACGAATCGAGGAAGTTCTTCCAGACCGTCTTGCGCGAGTCGATGGTGAGACCGGGGTAGTCGAGCGAGATGTGGATGCGCGATTGGAAAGCCGGGTCGAAGGTCTGGACGCGGTTGGTCGTGAGGAACATGGTGCCTTCGTAGTACTCTAGAACGCGAAGGAAGATAGAGACGAGTTTGTTGCGCTCGAGCTCGTGGAGGGAGCGCTGCTCTAAGAAGACGTCGGCTTCGTCGAGGAGGAGGACTGCGTTCCAGCGGCTGCACATTTCGAGGATGTCTTGCAACTTGGTCTCTACCTTTCTAGGATCGAAGCCAAGATCACCGGCGCTCATCATATAGAGAGGCATCTTCATTTCTTCGGCGACTGACTCACTAGTGAGAGTTTTACCCACGCCGGGCGGGCCGCAGAGTAGAATAATCATGCCTTTGCCTTTACCTTCGATCACGTCGTCAAACGTATCGCGGAACTTCCGTTGAGACTCCGTGAAGCCTAAGATGAGCTCTTTCTGGTTCTTCGGGAGCACCAACCTATCGAAAGCGTCGTCTTGCCACTCAATGTCTTTGACACAGTTTACGAAGAAATTCAGCCAAAGCTTGTTCTTCAGGCTGTAACCACGAAGTAGAGGTGTGCAGATCAGCTTTTGTTCAGTTGTCAACGGCACGTGTTTGGCTGCATCGTCCTCGTCGGCAAATGCGCCATCTAAGGGCATGCCACTGTCGTCTTCGTCTTCGAACTCATCCTGGCACTCGTCGATTTCTTCCTCGTCGTACTGTCCCGGGATAGGAGGGATTGGTGGTGGGCTGGGATCTTTCTGGTTCAATGGCGTTACAAAGACCGAATGAGTGGGGTCGAATCGGTTCCAGCCGTAGGTATCGATTATTATCCGACCCTTCACGTTGTACTTGTCTTTGTTCCCGAACCCACCCTGCCTCCATGCAACACCTTGGTATGCTCTATAGTTCGGACCAGCGAGAGTTTCTGCTTTGGCACCCCGTTCAATGAGGCGAGTGCGGATAGCTTCGCCCTCGGGATGGAACTCGATGGGGTAGACACGCAGATTGGTGATAGCGCGTGTACCGGTATAGGCGGCGATGGAGAGGTTGATCTTGTTGGAACCGAATTTGGCGCCATCCCAATCGACGTACTTGCAAGTCAGCCAAAAGCAGGGTGCACCCTTGCAATCCTGTCCATAACGCGTCTCGACCAGGATCATGGCCGTCTCTTGACCATCCTGTCGAGCGAAAACAGTCGCCCCAGGTTGATACAGCGTCCAAAGGTGTTCGTATGTCATAACCCTCTTGTTCTTCATGTCCTGGGAGGTATCAATCATGCTCTTGAATTCCTTGGTGAGAATGTCTTGGAGCAACTCAGCGTGGGCTTTGGTCGTGCGCTTATCCTCTGTCTCGTCGCCAAGCTTGGCAATAGCGTCCTGCAACTCAGTCCATCGATGAATCAGTGGCTCAAACTTGCCCTGGAACTCGAGACGGTTGAGGCCGACGGTGACACCCGGGTAGTTCTTCAGTACAACAGCGAGCAGCTTCTTCAGCAGCGGGCTCTGAACGACAATCGAGTGAATAGACAATACTCGTCGGGGATCGTTGTAAACCTTGACGTTCCGCACGAGCAACGCCCACTTCGCGGTCTCGTCGTTCTCGACGGCTTCTCCAAGGTCTTCGGGGATCTCCTCTTGCCACTGAAAGCGGCCTTTTTTGTCTTCCTTTCCGGAGTACAAGTGCTTTAGACCGTTCTTCATTCCTGGTTTGTAAAGCTCCTCGTCCTCGGGCTTGTCTTCCGGAATGTCATTATCGGCGGCGCCATTCTCAGCCTGCTTTCGACCTTTACCGTTGACAAGAACGTGCTTGACACCATTGGTCTTGGCCTTTGACTTGGTCTTTGAGGTTGGCTTATCTTCTTCGGATGATGAAGAGGAGACCGATGGAGAGCGAGCCTCGCGCCTAGCTCTGTTGCGTTGCTCCAGAGCCATGAGCTGGCGCAAGTAGGCCAACTGCTCAGCGCGCGCGTCTTCTTCAGTGGGCGAGTCGCACATGACGAGTGCTGTTGGGGCGGACTGAACTGAGGTGACGGATGTCCTTCGAGATCGGCTTGCTTGAAATACTGTGATGGTATGCTGAGTGGGTGGGGCAAGTAAAGGCTTTGAATGGGTTGAAGAAGAAGTGAGAGCGTAGTGCAGTAAGAGAGGCTGGGAGCCGTGCTAGTCGAGCGGAGCTGAGGATTCGTTTCACCGTATTATCGAAGCAGTTGAACGATAAAGGGAGTCCCGATTCACTCCGATTATTCAAGTAAGAGATAACCGTAAAGGAAGAAGGGAGGTGGACTGAGATTCAAGCAAAAAATACTCCACAAGGCTATATGTAGGCAGCCAAGAGAACCGGTCAGCCTTGCCTGTTGCCTGGTCGTGCGGCGATATCGTGGAACGTCTGCCTGCTGCAGGTCTGGTAGCGAAAGCCCTTGCAGAAGGGCTGCGAAGTTGTCGATTTCGACTACTGTGAGCGGCTTTCACACAGATCTTTACTTACCTGAGTGCTGAAAGGGCTATGCGTTGGCAATGCTGTCGGGTCACACAAGGCGTCAGCGGTGGCGTCACTGCAGCTCTTGGATGCCACCAAAGCGAGGAGACGTGTTGCACAGCCTCACCCAAGTTCCTCTCTGCCTTCACCATATTCGAGCCACGCTTGCGATGCATCATGTCCACTACTGCTGATAGCGAACGCGATGACGCGACTCCCCTCTGGATCGCGGTGTCTGTACGTCTAATCGGTTGCGTGAGAGACCGCGGCTTGGACCGACAAGCTGATGCATGCGATCGCGCTGTCGTGACAGAAATGGGGAGCCGAATGCAGAGATGAGATGAGATGGAATGGATTACTCGGTTGTCTGCGCGTAGCTGGACGCGTCGCGAGGCTGGGAGAGATGAAGTGTGGCGGTGCGCTACCCCGCGACCGGCGTCGGCGTTTGAGCCCCACGCCATCTTTTTCATCCCTCCCATGCGCTGGTCCAATATTTTTTGCGCGACGACATAACAAGACATCACGTCAAGCCCCAGGCGCTCTGTAGTCCAATATGACTACTCACATCAAGATCCCCTGCTCGTCCGCCAACATCGGCCCCGGCTTTGACGTCATTGGCCTTGCGCTCAACCTCTATCTCGAACTCGAGGTCACAGTCACCAAGAAGGAGAAATCAGAGCACTCGCTCAACTGCAAGATAACTTATGAGGGCGTAGGCGCGGAAGATGTCCCGCTCGCCGCGCAAGACAACCTCATCACGCGAACCGCCGTATACGTGCTCCGCTGCCATGGCGTTCGCGACTTCCCTTCGGAAACACACGTCCACGTCAAGAACCCGATACCGCTGGGACGCGGACTGGGCTCTTCGGCTGCGGCCATTGTAGGAGGTGTATATCTGGCGAATGAGGTCGGAAACCTTGGGCTATCGAGAGCGCGCATGCTCGACTACTGCCTGATGGAAGAGCGTCACCCAGACAACGTCGCAGCAGCGCTATACGGAGGCTTTGTCGGCACCTACCTCAACGAGCTGTCGCCCGAAGACACCGAGCGCCTCGAAATTCCCCTCAGCGAAGTCCTCCCACAGCCTGCAGGTGGTGTAGACACGGGTCTGCGGCCACCCGAGCCTCCCCTCAACATCGGACACTACACCAAGTTTGCTTGGTCGCCCGCTATCAAGTGCATATGCGTCATCCCACAATTCGAGGTCTCGACGGCCAAGGCGCGTGCGGTACTGCCTGAGTCGTATTCGCGCAAAGATGCCATCTTCAACATGCAGCGACTGGCTGTCCTGACCACCGCACTCGGTCAAGCCACACCAGACCCCGACATGATCTACACAGCTATGCAAGACAAGCTCCACCAACCCTACCGTCGCGGCCTCATCCCCGGTCTTACCGAAATCCTCCAATCCGTTACCCCACAATCACACCCCGGCCTGCTGGGCATCTGTCTCTCAGGCGCCGGCCCGACCATCCTCGCACTCGCGACTGAGAACTTTGACAAGATCGCAGAACATCTGCTACAGGAGTTCAAGAAGGAAGGCATAACATGCGACTGGAAGCTCCTTGAGCCGGCCGAGGAGGGCACCACTGTGACCCGCCCTTCAAGCACCTCACAGCCAGCTGGCGAGGCGCTGACATACGCATCATCGGGTGTGAGCATCGACGCGGGCAACCAGCTCGTTAAGCAGATCAAGGCGTTGACTGCTAGCACCAAGCGCCCTGGAGCCGATGGCAAGATCGGTGGATTTGGTGGGCTGCTCGACCTACAAGCGGCTGGCTACAATGAGGCACCTATACTGGTGGGCGCTATCGACGGTATCGGCACAAAGGTCAAGATTGCCTTCGAGATGGGTAAGCACGACACTGTCGGTATCGATCTCGTCGCGATGAACGTGAACGATCTCGTCGTACAAGGCGCCGAGCCTCTGATGTTCCTCGACTACTACGCTTGCA